CAATAAGTCTATATCAAAAAAATATTAATCTTTGGACTAATTTAATGCTCATATATCCTAATTTACATGTACATAACTTTTATATTTTAAAATTAAATATTTTCATAATTGATGTCACTTTAACTACTTATTGCTTCAATTAAGTAATCTAAAAAATAAATATTAATATTCAAATTTAATATTTTTTTCATCATACCCAATATCAAAATTAAAATTTCTGATCGCACTATAATTTCTGAAATAACCCAAAATAAAATTGCCTATACAACACTACCAAAAATTGAAAAAAAATTCATATCTTTGATTTTTTCTTAAGAATTCTTAAATTTACATTTTATTCATAACTTCATAAATCATAAAAAAAAATCCGAAATGATCAATATTTAAAAAAAACCATACTAACAAGTTAAATAATGATCACATGAAACTTTAGTATTAGTATATGTTTTTTTAAGCTAAAGCAAAAGTATCCATAACAATTGATAATGGTGCAACAATATTCAAATATCCAGATTAAAATATGCAACCACCAAAGTCTTTATCCAACAGATTATCTAGTAATTTTCATCACAAACCAAGATTGAAGTTCTAGCGTTAGGAGATGCAATGATATCAGTCTTAACGAGAGAAGTAACTTGTTATTCTATAACCTCATGCAGCAAGTAACTTATATTTAGGGTGGTAAATGAGATGAGAGAGATCGTGAGATATTCAAGATCGAATTGGTCAAAGTTTGATTCGAATGAACTCGACTCGAGTTTTTAACGAGCTGAACGAACTACTTGATATTTGACTCGAAAAACTCGAAAAAGTAATATATTAAAAAATTATTTTTAAAAAACAAATTATTAATAATTTTATTTGTGTGTGTTTTTTACAATAAATAAAGTATAATATTTTCATGTAGTTAATGTTCAGGTTTGAATTTTAATTTCACTCGAGTTAAATTTAAGATTTATTTATTTTGAGCATTTTCGAGCTTCAATTCATGATTTCGAGTTCGAGTCGAACTTACAAATTTTAGGTTCGTGAGTTTCTGAGCCGAGTTGAACTCCATTTTATAGTTTTTAAGTCTAGTTCGACTCAAATCATTTACAACCCTAATTATATTAAATCTAAATTCATTTATTATTATTATACTATTTTTTAATCAAAACAGAACAATATTAAAAAGAAGATTAACAATCGTTAAAAACCTTAAAGATTCGATATGAGAGAAAAATGATAGCTTCAAATTCACAACACCCATCATTCAACAAATAAGCAAAACACCACATAAGCTATGTTGCCTTTCAATTGTTAATAGATTAAACAAAATACCAATAACATACTACTTTTGTTATTCACAAAACCTCATATAATTATAGAAAAAATATGTTTTCAAATTTAATAAAAAGTATGTCCAGCGGATATAAAACACATAATTAAGGGTTTATACTTATCATATTTTTTTTGGATAAGTAGAATTTTATTTATCCAAAAGAAGCAGCAAGCTGCTACAAAAAACAAGGCAAACAGCCTAAACCAGTCCCCAATTTAAACATAACCTCTGATTTACATCATCCACCCTATTCATGGAACATCTATACAATTTAATTCTAACAGCCTCTCGAATCCTATTTACAACCACCTCAGTCGAACGAATCACGCCCCTAAAATGCCTGTGATTACGTTCCTCCCAAAGAAAGTAAACAAAACAGTCCACGCCTGCTTAAGGATGTGAACAAGAAGGGACTTACCCTTCAGAGTCGAAGTCAACCAGCACAGGGCCTCATCCCAGCTATTAAGCGCCTGAGGCTGGAGGTCACATTCTCGCAAAATAGCATTCCAAATCGCACTTGCGAACGAGCATTCGAAGAACAGATGGTTACGAGATTCCAAGTTACCAGAAAACAATCCAAACATTATGTTCCTATGCCAAAACGGGTTAATCTATCCTTAGTTGGCAATCTATCAAGAATCACCATCCATGCAATAATAGAGAATTTAGGGATATGAGATGGAAACCATATGAGCTTATGCCACCCAACTTTGTCTCTTCTAGCACGAATGCTATTCCAAATCCAGTCGACATTGATCTATGGCCAGATAGCAATCGGGCTGAACAGCCTCCTAGCCTCATCCCTCAACTTAAGAAGCTTATTCAGAATCCAGTTGAAATGAGGTTTTGAATCAACATTCCAATAGTCCACAGATTTAAAACAGTAAACTTTTATCCAGGCTATCCACAGAGAACCCTCATCTGCCAAAATGTTTTTGACCAACATAAGACATCAAGCTTTACTCCAATCTGATAGCTTCTTAACCCCAATCACCCTCAGATTTTAAGGCACAAATCTGGTTCCAGCTCACTCGAGCACCACGAGCTGGGATATCACATCCCTTCCAAAAAAACCGCATGCATAGTTTTTCAATATCACTGATAACACCCTTGGGCAAAACAATCTGCCTACTCCAGTAACCAAAAATGCTGAACATAACTAATTTTACAAGCTGTAGTCAACCCCCAAAACTGAGCTTCCTACTAGCCCATTGATCAATCCTGTTTTTGATTCTAACAAGAAGAGCTGAGCAATCTTTACTAGTAAGCTTACGATGACCAAAGGCACTCCCAAATCTAACTGGAAGCTGGCCAATTTTTAAATTATAGCATACTGAATCTGCTCCAAAATATTCATAGGCAAGCCATAAGCAAAAAGTTCATATTTCATAGCATTAGTCTAAGGCCAGAAAGTTCATAAAATTTCTCTAAAATGCTAACAACCCCCAACACAGAATCCAATGACCCATGGCAAAATAAGAGCAAATCATTAGCGAAGCATAGATGGGTGAGGGAGGTTCTCTTGCACTTAGGGTGATATTTAAAAATGCCATTCTTAGCAGCCATATTCAATAAAGAAGAAAGGACATTCATCACAATCACAAACATGTATAGAGATAGAGGCTCTCCTTGCCTGACCCCCCATCACCCTCAAAGTACCCAACCAAGGTGTCATTTAGAGCAATAGAGTACCTAGGGGTAGTAACATATTCTTTAATCCAACTAAAAAAATAGCTGGCAACCCCAAAGCTTCAAGAACAACCAACAAAAAATCCCAACAGATTAAGTCAAAAGCCTTTTGCAAATCTATTTTAATGGAGCACCTAAGAGAAAGGTTTTTCCTAGAGTACCCCCTAACAATTTCCTGGGCAAGAAAGTATTATCAATATTTCTGCCTTTAACAAATGCTGATTGATTAAGTGAAATCATACTAGGAAAGTAGACTGCTAGCCTAGTAACCAAAATCCTAGTGATAGTCTTATAGATCACTGAGCAACAGGAGATGGGCCTGAAGTACTTAGCCATACAAGCATTTAAAGTTTTAGGCACCAAAACAATAGTGGTGGCATTAAAGGCAGGCAAAAGAGAGGCTGACTGGAAAAAATACCTTATAGCTGCAAGAAAGTCCTTGCTGACAATCTCCCAAGATACTTTGAAAAACCAAGAAGTAAAGCCATCAGGACCAGGGCTTTTGTCCTTACCTTGCCTAAAGAGAGCTTCCTTAATCTCTTTATCAGTAACTCCACCAACAAGGGAATCAACAGGTCCATCAGGTAAGGAAATATTCAGCAAATGTTTTAAACTCTCAACATGACAACCTTTGACTAATGGATCAGCAGTGCCAATAAGGTTCTTATAGAACTTAACAAGTTCAACAACCATATCATCAAAAGATTCATAAAACACCCCATTCTCATCTTTGATAATTCTGATAGTATTCCTCTTCTTATTTGCTTCAACTCGCTGGTGAAAAAATCTGGTGTTCAGGTCACCTTCTTGAAGCCAATGAGCTTTAGCATTTTGCTTGTAGAAATCAGATTCGGCAACTTCTAAAACAATTAAATCTTCCTTGATTCTCTTCTCCTCCTCAAGTCTCCTTTGATCAACAATAACAAGATTATGAAGCTTGATAGAATCAAGTTCTACTCTCTTTCCAGCCACCCTACCAGAGATATCAGAAAAGTGACTCCTTTTAAACTCCCTCAACAAAGGCTTAAGCCTTTTCATTTTGTTGAACAGAACCTGCATAGCATTGCCAACACTCTGTTCTTGCCATGAATCCTTTACAACTCTTAGAAATCCTTCATGAGCAGTCCAACAATTGAAAAACTTAAAAGTCTTAGGCTATGGACTTGGGCACATTTCTGAGTCCAAATGATCACATGAAAATGATCAGAGACCCTCTGTGCTTGAAATTCCACAGCAGAATCGGGAAATTCCAGCAACCATTGAGAATTAATTAAAATTCTATCTAGCTTACGAGCCAGAAATGAGTCCTCCTGTTTATTAGACCAAGTGTACAGAGGACCAAAAAAAGGGTGGTCTAACAACTCTAAATCCACCAAGCAGCTCTTAAAATCCTCCATATCAGGGGTACTGTGCAATCCCAAATTGACAAAGTCATAACTCTCCTGGGCATTGGCAATGATATTGAAGTCCCCCCCCCAATTTTCCAAGAATAATGACCAATGTCAGCTTCTAAAGTCCTCAGATGTTCCCATATATCCCTTCTATCAAGACCACTATTACTGCATAAACAGCAGTAATAACCAAACTATGACCAGCCACATCCCCTACAATTGATAAGCTTGATCAGAACTCTTTAAAACAGTGAAGGGTAAGTCTTTTTTCCATGGCACCCAGAGTCTACCCCCATCAGAAAAAGCATAGTTAGTAGCACAATTCCATTCAACAGCCAAAGGAGCAATAATATTAGAAAAATTAGCATTTCTAACCCTAGTTTCCATAAAGCATATCACATCAACTCTTAGCATCTCCAACCTCCTCATCACCTTACCTAACTTGAGACAATTATTTATCCCCCTAACATTCCAAAAACTAAAGATCATTAATTAGAAATAGAAGGGCCACCTCTATTGATATCAACCTTATCCATATGATCCTTCTTCTTAGCTTTGATTTCATTGAGGAGCATTACAACCCCCAAAGAAGCAACCCAGGCCTTTCTAGGTCCATCAATAGCACTACCTCCAGCAATTACCTCCATTTTACTAGATGAACCAGTGTTATCTTTTTTCTTTCCCCTGATCTTCTTTTTATGATTCAGGGAGTCCTGCAGTGATGAAAACTCTCCACCACCATAGTTAGAACTTATCTCAGACCCTTTGGAAAAGGTCTTACCAGCATCATCCAATAATTCCTCACTACCAGTGATAATATTCTGATTTGAAGTCTCCAATACCATAACAACTGTATCGCCCATCTCCGAGGTCTGAACATTTCACATCTTGTAGATGGCCTTTAATACTATCCTGAGGGGCATGAATAGGTAGCTACTCAGGAGTATCACCTTGAAATTCTTTACCAGGACAAAGAGATTGGTCAGTAGCACTTCCATTTCCCTCATGCATTGAGTCAGAGTTATTTTCCTGGAGAGCATGAACAGTTAAAATCTCAGAATTAACCACCAACAACTTAGCACCCTTTGATACCTCTTCACTAGGTATAATCTTCTGCATAACAGAGCCAGAGGATCCATCACCCCCTCCTTAACAGAAGAACCAAAGATAATAGGAGCCTCCTTTTTCCTCCAAACAGTTTCCTTATTCTTCGAGGAGACTTTCTTGACTTCAACACAATTACTAACAAGATGCCCAAAAGATCTTACACTCTAAACAAAATTTAGGAAGCCATGGAACATAAACTCTGAATTTGACTATAGAATTATCCCTTAGAGCTACATGAATCACCTCAGGAATAACTGTCCCTAGCTTCAACCTCAACACAAACTTTGGCAATTCGAGCCTCTCCTTAGAAGAAGTAATTGAATCCATGTACAATGGGATCCCCACAGCACTGCAATATAACTGAGGCCTAACCTAGAAAACAGTTCTAAAGGAACGTTGTAGAAATGCATCCAGACAGGCATACGCTTAAGATCAAAATCAAGCTTCTTCAAATTCGGTTCCCACCTCCGAAGCACGAGGGGTTTATTTTGAATGTGCCAAGGGCCATTCTCAAGCACCCAATCTCTAAAATCCGAATTCGAAAATGAAAATACATAGAGATTATGCCCAGCCAAACTAACTTTACTTTCGATGACTTCCCCCATAAAATCTCTGCAATTCTCTGCATGATCCAAAGTTTGGAGCATCACCAATAAACTGCCCCCCCAGCGTGGTCCCATTCAGCAATACCCTCATTAATTATGCCAAAAGGAGGTTTAACAGTAGGGATCCCCTCAAGAATTTCAAGAGCGAAGAAGTCTAGGGATTGTTCCTTAGATCCACGAAAGAGCTTTCGCCAATCCAACTCAGAGGATAAAGATTCCATGAAAATGAGAAAACAAAGAAACGAAATCAAAAGAAATAAGAAGGAAACAACAGGCGATCAGCACCGAGGAAGCAAATATGAGAACCTATTAGACCTGCTATCGAGCACCCAGAGCAGTTTCATCTCAGTTCTAAACATTGACTGCTAACTTATACTTATCATATTTGATTACAATCAACTTTATAAAATTTTAAATCTTTTTTTAATGATAAAACCTTTTTCATATATATATCAAACTCATAAAATCTTAAGAACGAATCAATCTAGAAAATAAATGAATAAATTCTCAGTGATTCAACATGACGAGAATTTAATGTCACTTGTTAGAATCAAATCATAATAAACATAAAATTAACCACAATCTATTATATCAAATCCTCAAGAATTAAATACTAGAAGCACAAGCAAGCCTGAATTAATTGATATGTTGAAATCCTATACTATTTCTTTGATAGTGATCTTCTAAGAAGATATATTTGTTCTTGTCGTAAAAATTATTTGATGGGATAAAAGTAATACAAGTTAACTTATTTCTTGGGGACCAAACTTATTTATATAGATTGAATATTAGGTCAATATTTTAAGTATTTATAATTTTCTCCCTTATCAAATTATAAATACAACTTATGGTATCTATACTTTAATTCCATGGCATTTTAATATCGATGGCATATGTAACATAATTTAACCATTTAATTTTGTGCCATATTTTATGATAGCATTGTACGTTATACATATATGTCCCATAATTATGGATTTTAATCCAACATTATACCAATAACCCTCCACAGTTGTTGAGTGATGGTTGACAACAATGGCAGATGCAAAACTTGTCCAGGGTGGGTATGTGCCCACTTTGAAATTCAAATTTCTTTATGTTAGTTGTTCATTTTACTATTGGTGTCTGTCTTAAAATTTTATTTGTGTCAATCCCATACGAAAAAAAATCTATTATTAATATATATATCAACTTTTAAAATTATTTCTAAACCCGCGTTTAGTCTACAAGATGCTATACATGAGAAGCAGACTTTGTTTACTACTTGAGCTCTAGTTGATTTTCATCTCTTTGTGTATATATATATATACACTTATAATTCTATTTGTAAAATTTAAAAATTTAAAATATATAAAAAAATTATATGTTTTAGTTTAAACCCAATAATAGGATAGTTCTGTTGTACGGCATCCTTAATATACGACCAAGTAAAGGTCCTACCGGAAATGTTAATATTTTTAATATTTTCAGTAAAACTCTACCTAAAATATTATTTTTTATTAAAAATGTTAATTTCACTACCTAATTTTTGATTGAAAGAATAATATTTTAGGTAGCTACTAATATTAACATTTCTGGTAAAAAATAATGTTTTAGGTTGTTTTTACCAGGAAAGTTAAACATTTTAGGTACGTCCAATATTAACATTTTGCTAGAAAAAAAATTAATGTTTTAAGTAGCTCTTTGCTGAAAATATTATAAAAAATATTAACATTTTCGATAATATTTTTTTTAAATGTATATTAAGAGTATCCTACTTTAAACATCCCTAATAAAAATAACCCACACATTATGGAACTTCTTGACCATTGAAATGTGGGTCCAAGTTGACTAAGGATCAAGTATCTAATGGTTTATTCCAGGAAGTTGCTGCGCTCCACCAAACGTGCTGAACCCGCAGACACCTCCACACCCTTCTACTGTTTTCTATTTTCCCTTTATGCCATCGATTCTACCTTTAATTACCACTGGACCATTTCTTTAATTAAATAAATAAACAAAAGCCACAAATTTAATGTGTGGCAAAGAAACGTCAAGGCCCATAGCTATCAGCACCTTCGTACTTGGAGATGTAAATAAGAAAAAGATGGTGAGATATGATTAAATAACGACCAACTTTTAAATTAAATAATCTAATTTATATTTAAATTTAACTTAAATTTGTAACAAATTAAAACGAGTTACATTAAACGTGATTCAAAAAATTCGTAATTCAAAAATAATATATTAAATTTTTAGATTTTTAAATTAAATTATTAATAATATTAGTATTTATATGTTGTTATTTTTTTAAAAAATGCAATATAAGATTTTCATGTACTTAAGGTTTAAGTTTGAACTCGAGTTTGAGCTTCAATCGAACTAAGTATAAGAATATTTTAAGTTCAAGTTCTTTCGAACTTGAATCGAGCTTCAATTTTTTTATTTCGAATTGAGTTTAAAAATTTAAACTAGCGAACTTTCAAGTTGATTGAACATACAATATCAAATATTAGATAATTATTTTTAAATAAATACTATTTATACTTATATCATATGAAAATTTACCATTGAACCAAAATTTAGTTAACAAATATATGAAAATTTTAACCAAAATTAAAGGTTCCAGCTTATATATATATATATATATATAATAAAAAAAATTAAGTTTAATTAATTTATAAATTTTAAAAAGTTTAATAATTTATAAAATTTAAATAGAAATAAAATCTAATTTATATAAAAATATTATGTGTCAACTATAATTAAATTTAAGATACACTAATAGATATTTTGTCACTCTGTTATTTACATGGTTCTGTTTTGATAATTTAATTATTTTTTAAATCATATTTAATATTATATTGTCATCTGTCGTTAAAAATGATGATGTTGATTTTTCTTCATAAAATAATGTCACCTCATTATTAAAAACTAAAAATATCATGTTAACAATTCAATTTATTTTTTAACAGCAAGTGATCACCATGACGTCATTATTGGTGGGGTTCCTCGCTAACTCAATGGTATTCATACTAAAATGATCAAGGCATTTACGTTTATTGAGGGATTGCGCTTTACAATCGAAAATGGTTGAGAATGAGTGATCATTGAAGAAGATGTAACATCTATTGATAACCGATTGACTAGTACAACTAGAGACATTTATGTGATTGGATTGTTGTTCAACGAAACTCTTAAAGCCCTTCACAGTTCCCCATTCCTTAAGGTGTGCTACGCATGTCGAGGACATCTCATTTCCATGAGATTACCCAACAATAACCCAATGGTGGGCCGAGTAGTTGCAACAATGAGACAAAGAAAAGCTTGAAGAAGGAAGATGGAGGGCCTGTCAAGGTAATGTCCTCAGTTCATGCATTCCAACGTTTACTAGTGTCATAGCTGGTAAGTTTCTTTAGCTATTTATGGGGAAGTGATCTGGTGTTGGGTCTCCACCATCCCTCTCACCCTGAGCTAGCATGTGGAGCTACCATGGTGTAAACGACCTTCTCCTAGGTTCATGAGAAACCTAGGTGTGCGGGCATCGGGACCAAGTGGATGGTACGATGTCTATCTACGATGATACCTAGGGACCGTTTAGTGCCAGTGGGCTCCATATCATGCTCTTGGTTGAGGAGTGGGGTTGTCATCTAGCATTCACTATGCCCCGCGAGATCTCTCTTCTAAGAGTAATTGTGGCTTTGGAATTATATTATAGCACGAGAGTAATGTGTGTCTTGTTGATTCGGATATGATACTGTGGGATCTACTAATGAACTGAGAGGAGATTCTTAGTCAATACGACTTGTCTTCATGACAATTTATTCGAGGAATGGATCTATGTTGGGAAAGGCTGACTTGTGTGGGAGTTGTCCCATTTAAGTGCCGCACGACATAACTACAGGCTCGAGACGTTATG